AAAAAAAAAAGAAAGGAAAAAAGAGACAAAAGAAAGACAGTAATGCGTGAAACGTAGAGAGATGTTATTTTAAATAGCATCTGTCCTATCTAGTTGAACATGAACACAGATAATTTGAGTTTTAGATTGAAACAACAAAAGAGTTACCAATCGAATCCAATACATTGCGCGCTCTAAATTACCGAAAGTCACTTGTCGGTTTTTTTGAGATCCATGCTGAATCCATTGACGTCAATACCAAACCAAAATTCCTACGAATTTGTGAATGTGTGACGCTATATAATTTAAAGGTTTATGGCATAACCTGTGCTTAAAATCCGTTATAAAAGACACATTTTTTTATATAAGGAATTTTCATTCCCAAATCCAGCTACCTTTCATCTTCTCTCCGATAGGCTATTTTGGGGAACATTACACTAGACACGCTTTGCAAGCACCTTGATGCTGTGTGAACAAGAACTACTGTACTTTGCGTGACAAGACTAAAGTAAAGAAAACATTCATGCCCAGGACGAACACCTGCCCCATTCGAGCACGTGATGTTCGCACCTATGCGTCACACCGTACAAGACTATTTGTGCCGGGCAGAGGCCTCCAGGCACGCTGTTGTAATCCTGTCGGAATAAGCTTTGATTAAGGATGCCCTTTTCTGCCCTTTCGCTGCTTGCCTGGCTTTTCCGCTGGCCCTTTTCCGCTGGCCCTTTCCGCTGGCCCTTTTTCCGCCTGGCCCTTTTCCGCTGCCCTTTTCCGCTGCCTTTTCCGCTGCCCTTTCCTGGTCCCCTTTCTGCCTTCCCCCTTCGCCGCCTTCGCTGCCCTTTTCCGCTGGCCCTTTTCCGCTGGCCCTTTTGCCGCTGCAAACTTCCCGCTGCTTCCGCTGGCCCTTTTCCGCTGCCCTTTTCCGCTGCCCTTCCCGCTGGCCCTATTTTCTGCCCTTTTCCGGAGCTTGGGCCCCCGTTTTTCCCGCGGCGGCTTCGCGGGCACCTATTTCCGCATGGCCCGTTTCCGCTGGCCCTTTCCGCTGGCCTTTCCGCTGCCCTTTTCCGCTGGCCGCTTTTCCGCGCTGGCCCTTTTCCGCCTGCCCTTTTCCGCGCGCCCCTTTTCCGCTGGTTTCGCTGGGCCACTTAAGCGGCTGGCAGCTCCGTTTATCGCTGTGCCCTTTTCCGGCCACCTGCCGCTGCCCTTTTCTCGCTGCCCTTTGTCCTGCCCTTCCGGTGGCCCTTTTCCGCTGCCCTTTTCCCTGTTTCCTGTTCCCGTCCTTTCCGCTGGCCCTGTTGCCGCTCTTTTCCAAGCTGCCCTGTCCGCTGGGCCCTTTTCCGCTGGCCCTTTTCCGCTGGCCCTTTTCCGCTGGCCCTTTTCCGCTGGCCCTTTTCCGCTGGTCCTTTTCCGCTGGTCCTTTTCCGCTGGCCCTTCGTATTGCCGCCATTGACTAGTATCTGACAACTTTTCTGTACATAATTTTTAGCTGTTAATTAACTAGCTCTGCCCGGAATTTGTTGCGAATTATGACAATTTCTTCAGCGGGTAGATTTTACTGCTGAACTTCAACTGGAACTAAAAATATGTAGTATAACTAAGTCTATCCCGACTCTGGCTAGTAAACAGAAATCTTTTAATGTCACTCGAAAGGTTCCAAAAGGAAACTAATCAAAATAATAAAGTGTTGCGCTTCTTTCAACCATGTAAACAAAATGTTGGACCTTACACCTTACAAACTAGTGAGAGCTCCTCCAGTTAATTCACGATGGTTAGTGTAGGTGGAGGTTATACGATAGCTTATAAAACTTAATTGCCCTCTCCGTATGAAGGCACCAGTTCACAATACCTTCCGGAAGGCTCATACTTAAATTACAAAACAAATAAAAATGTTATACAACTGATCTGAAAACTAAAACAAATAACAAGTTCATTGAATATATGTATCAGAGTACTTGCTTTTTGTTAAGGTTGAATTTTATTCTATTTCATCTTGTCAATACATGAAATGTACAAAATTTTCAGGATATAAATTCCCATGAACCCTATTAATTTTCTCACGAATCTATGGACTATTTAGATAAAAAAAACAAAGATGTAAATAATTTATGTACTCGAAAACTAATAAGCTTTTGACTGAAACATTTTTTACGCATAAATAATCTTTTTTTAAATAAAAAAAGTGACTTCAAAATAAACACTCAGGCAATAATTGTACTTTGACTCGCAGCACACATCCTTCTTTCTTCCTCCTTATCTCTTACTCCCCTTTCTTATTCCTCTAAACACACTACCCAAGCAGACAATTCATCACACATTTCGGGAAACTGTATGGGGAAATTGAGCTGTAAAGCTAGGGCAGTGTCCTACCAAGAACGGATCTGGGAGGGGAAACCCCTTCTCGTCAGTTACTGCTCTGGCAGACCGCAGATGACTAACAAGGGAAGACACACTTCGCGATTCCGTCTACATTCGTGCCACAGCATAATGCGTCCATTGTGGCCGCAATGACTACCTCGAGAGATTGAGATTCTCTTATGATAGTGAAGAGTACAAATGCCCGTAAGCGAGAGACGATGACCTTGCCTGTAATGTTCCTTCTCGTGGCAAGTGGCCAGTGGTGTTTTGCCATTGCCTTCCACAGAAGGAGCGCTGCTAAAGATGGTTATGAGGAATAAATGATGAGAAATGAATGAAGCGATGTATGAATGGAATATGGTTAAGTTGAGATATATGGTGGTATGAAATTCCTATCACACGACATGGCAAAAATCCCATGCCACACGCACTTTGGACTGCTGTTTCTGCATCATCGACTCCGACATAACAATCCACGCGTTACGTAAATTACGTTTTACCGGCGGTAGTGTAGTTGTTTTCTTGGTTCTATATCTCGAAGACGGATTTTAATGAAATGTCTTTTTTTTTTACTTTAGAACAATGCTCTTTAGTATAGAAATTGATTTTATGTTATGACGCAACGAAACGACCCATCTTTATGGCAATTTGTTTTTGCGTTTTTCGTAATTTCCGCTAATAAGTTTCTATTTTTTACGTTATTTTTAATGCGTTTTCACTGATTTCATCAATTCTAATATCATTTGAATGGTACTTGCTTCAAACAATATTTACGAGGTGCAACAAATGTTCACCACAGAATACCTGAGTAGCCTATTTGATTTCTTCGCTCATATATTGTAATGTCAGCCCTCGTAAGTTATATGTAATTTCGGGTTCGGGAGTTGTTTATCAGCTACATTGTCAGTGCAGCCAATTCCGCGCTAAATAAAGACAGAGAATTTTTTGAAAACAAATCTAAACCCAAAGTTTGCAAGCTGAGTTCACTTGAAAAAAGGAAGAAGCCTCAATAACATCAGTAACATAACCAGCAGCTTGAATTCTTCATTTGAAGTGGTTTTGATCAATTTTTTTACGTCATTTTTCATTGTTTTTAGGACATTTTAAAATCATTTAAGAGTAATTTATTGATTATTTTTGACAATGTTTTAGGTAATCAAACTCCGCCACCCTACATATCACTATTTGTTCGGTGCCGCCCTTAAAACCGTGCCGTCGGAGGCAACTACCTGTCGGTCGCGCCGCTCATGGCATTCCCCGGGCTGCGTTCCCGCCCNNNCCGTTCGCCCACTCGCCCACGAGCAGTGGGCGGTTTCGGGGCGTCGGCAGAGCTGCTCCGCTCCGCTCCGCGCCTCCTCAACTCGACCTCTGACCCCGGCTTTTCTGCCCGCAGATCCTGTTCTGCACGCTCAACACGCACAAGGTGGATATGACGAAGCTGCTCGGCGGGCAGATCGGCCTCGACGACTTCATATTCGTGCACCGAAAAGGTGAGTGACTCCGCCAGCTGCCAGATGTGCCATTTCTCTCTCCTATCCTTACTATCTCCCTCTCTCTATCTATATCAGGCACGTCAAACTGCGCCCGCACGAGACACTTGCTCGCCTGGGAAGCCCGGCGTTTCTGCGATCACGGGCATTTTCCCTGCCTCCTCTCTCGTTCCCACCCCAAATCGAAGGAAAGGGTGGACACGCGCAAGCTGTTGCAGAGAAGCTAAGAAAAAAAAGCGCGCACAAAATAAATAGGAGAATGGTTGCTTGATACGAAAGTATATATTTACCTGATGTTTTCTATTCAACAACCGAGATCGGGAATATTCTTCTCTACTAAAGAAATGAAAAGATCCATTAAAATGGAACACATCAATCATATTTTAAATTATCAATTAAGAGTAACATTTATCGTTTTAAAATCAAAAGGTCTTGATTTCGTAATCTCGTTTCCTTAAGAGTACAATAATTGCATTAACTTCCTACCTTTAGGTTAGGAGATTTAACAGACAAATATTATTGTGTTAAAAGAACTGTCTGTCCGTAAGAGAGGCGTGTTAATTTATTTCACATTATTGCTATATATAAGAAATAACTGAATGATTGAACAAAATATAATGAACAAATAAAAACGTGCAAAGAAAAGAGAATTCATATCGGTAAATTTGGGGCGATAACAGTCAACTGACTTCTCCAAATGACCATGCTTACACAGTTGCCCCGGCTTACCCAGATGCTATTCCGGAGCAATCTGTACAATCTTTACTTTTAAATTTCGCGGCAGTGCGGTGGACGCAATGCCCGCAAACTCGAGTGAACTAGTTCACTTGCCCGCGGCCTTGACATGCCTGATATATATCTCTTCCTCTATCGTTCTCACTTTAACCCTCCTAATTTTTCTGTTTCTCTTCCTATGTATTTTTCTCTCTCTAATGTAGGTCACAGGCTATTTAATTTTTACAACGAATAAGACATTTTACGTTGTCACCACTCTATCGTTTGTTCGATTAGCAATTACGTTGAAGGAACTGGACGTAAACCCAGAGATCTGGGTTTGATTCTAGATCTGGTTTGGAACAATTTTCAATGTTTACTGACAGTGGAAATGTTGAGACAGGGGTAATTGGTAATATATTTTTAGAGGTGGCACATTCACGAGTATTTTGCTACAGACATAGAATTCGTGACATGACTTTGGCGTTGCATTCCACGGATGATTCTTCCACTTCAGACACCGCATGAAGCCACAGCCCAAAGCAGGATTCAATAGACTTCTCCGGAGATTGGTGTTGCGTTTCGTGATGTTTCTTGAAAGCAGAATGCCATGCAAACACTAACTAAACGGACCGCGTCCGGCACGCCTCCCTTCTTCTCGTCATCATGCATCCTCTGCTTCTTTTCGACGCGGGCGGGCGCGACAAAGGCGGGGAGGCCGCGGGTTCGCTCGCTCATGAAGCGCGTTCCAGTAAATTGCGGCAACAGTTAAGTAGCGGCGTCTGGCCGGCGCTCACTGGCGCCCCGGGCATTTGCTTGCGCGAGAGGGCGCGCGCCACTCGCGACCGGGTGACGATCACTCAGGCGCGATGCAGGGCAGAAGGGCTTCGTCTCTTCGTTGATTTAGTTGGCTCGTTGATTTAGTTGGCTCGTTGATTTAGTTGGCTCGTTGATTTAGTTGGCTCGTTGATTTAGGTTTCCGGGCGCGTCAACCGATAAGATCATTATTCCCATAAGTGGAGTGTTTTTTTATCGCGGGAGATGGCGGTGATCTTCGCCCGGTGAATGGCGAGATCCGTCTATTTTCCCCAACTAGGTATCTCCCCCCAGCTGCGCACCGCCTCAACCGGGACAAGCTCTAAGCCCTCAACTGGACTCCGTTCGTGGGATAGTGTAGTGCATGTAAGTGTGAGTGTAAGTAAGGTGTTGGGATAGGACCAGAAGAGGAAGGAATGATCGCGCGCAGTCCGTGGCCCGTTTGTTAGGGTACTGCTCTGGCATTCGCCTGGTGTTGATCGGAGATGCCAGGTAAAACTGATTAGAGCAGCCGGCCGCTGGATTTCTCCTACAGACTGCGGGTGAATTCCACCCACCTATGTGATAATTGACGAAAACCCTACCGTTCTCAGAGCATTGACAAGGAATTTGCGTCAATTCCAAGGATGGAATAGTTAGAGATTATATAATTATATTATTCAGATGGAAGAAATGTTGTGTACACATTATGTGCAGTGGAGAAGTAATTTAGACCTGAAAGGGTTAGATTGGAATGATAACACAAATAATGAAAAATCAGTTCTATAAACCCTTGAGAAGGTAAATAAAACGGAAGCGAGTTATTAATATTCAAATTAGTTGTTTTTTTACTTGAGTAATCCGGAACTTCAAAATGTAGGTTATGTAATGAATGTGACACTGGCTGGTTCTAGGGTTAATATCTTGACCATATATTCGTCAAAACAGTTCAAAGAATAGTATTTTATTCCGAATTCAATTCAATTTCGTCTTATTTTTCGAGCCATTAAGACTGCGCTTGCCTTTGACCACGCATATTTCACTACGCTCCTTCCACCATCTACCGGAGAGAGAAGGTATCACTCGGGAGAATAACAGGCGATTTAAATTTAGCTCAGAGGTTTTTTTAGGCTTAAGGGTCTAATCACGCAGTATATCTTCAACATGGGTCAGTCGGCTTTACTTCCCCGCCGAACGAAAGCGTACGAAGGATTTTTTTTTTGCCCTTAACAATCCACGGTTGCGATCGGTTTGATACCCGGGAACATCGGCGTAACAACTCTATACGCTAACCACTATACCACTGAAGTCGCAAATCCCATCTCCAGTGTAACATTTCCGCCCAACACCAGCAAGAGGAAACGACTCTACGCCGGGGGATGGAGCTCCTTGCGTAGCGTACGTCCGGTGAGGCCGACCGCAGATCGCCAGTGTCTTTGATGTCGCACATCTGAGCCTCTCTGCTGAGCCAGCGGGGGCGACGTCCCATTGAGTAGCTGCGGCTGCACACGCGACACGCTCTTCGCGCGGCGCGGAGGGTCGCAGCTTCCAGCGACAAAGGGGGAGGGGCAAAGAGATTTCTTTCTTAAGATGCGAGGCAGTGAGACCTTTACTCCGCTCCTTAGCCGTAAGTAACCATGACAATCGATCATCGTTGTAAACAAATGAACATGAATTAATTCGAAACGTGTTTACTGAAATACTGAGATATGTTTCTACGCCTGCGGAGTGAATATTAAACTGCTTTGAGAGAAGAGAAAGATGTAACTGGCCGAGGGATATTCGCCTGGTGACTTGCGTATTGTGCGGGTCGCTGGACCTAGTATGTATCCCTGTTTATTCTTTCGGCAAGATTTTATAGTTCTTTATTCGATTAAAGCAACACGTCACGCCCGAGGAATAGACTTGCAGTGCTGTTTAGGAGTGAAAAGGGACATGCAAAACGGAAACATTAACGTAAACGTGATGATATAAAAATGAACTTTTCACATAAATACGGACGTACTGCTCACAATGACCGTGATCGTAAATGAGAACAAAGCATTTCATTGTTATAATAAAGTTACTGTAAAATAAATATTTGATAAATAAATAATAAAATCACGATTTAGACTTGTAATTTAATTTGACGAAAACTCTCTGAGAACATGTCACACAGTGTTCTACCTTTTCTGCCTTTCTTTCTAAGACATCTTAGATATTTCTCTGGTAGAAAGCTCTCGCTCCTATTTTTCAAGTTGAGCCTACATATAGTTAGAAACAATCATGTTCCTTTAAACTCTGTACATGTCCGACAACTAATCTGGTAAATGCTTGTAGAATACTTGTGAAGGGGCCTGATACATGCTTGGGGATAAGATATAAAAATACTTTTTGCTAATTACTTATTTGTTACATTAAAATGATGTAGTAGTATGATAAACGCATTAAATTGTCATTGTTTTTATTTACTTTGAATTTGTCTTATGATATTAATATCCATATACTGATGATAATCTGTAATTTGTCTCAGTGTTATGCAATATGTATTATGTAATTGAGTATATTTTATCGAGAAATCTAAGTATGATTCAAATCTCTACGAAACCTTGTTGCACAACGCAACACTGTGCATTCTCTTTCTTTGTCCAGTGAATCTTAGATATTCTTATCTTCAATTATTTCAAGAAGATTTCAGTAAGCGATAAAATACTTTAATCAATGATATCATGAAAATCTGTGATGATAGTGTTCGTTGTCTTTAAAAATATTTCAGAAAACCTTTACTTTGAGAGAAATTAAACATTTTTTACCTTTTTAAAGTAATGTATTCAATTTGTTCAATTTAGAGGACAGTTGACAAATTAACTTACAAATTTAGAAGATCATTATCATCAGATCGACAATCACTTACTGAAAATCCTACTTGGCAATTCTTCCATATGGGAAATTTCCATTTGATGATCAGGCAGTGCTCGAGAGGCAAATTATTTCAAGGAAAGAATATGAATAGGATATGTTAATTCCCTACTTTATTAAAATTATTTCTCCGCAGATTATTGTAAAGATCCTTACAGAAGCTCGTAAGACGGAATCCTTTAATAAAAGCTCCTCTCAGCCCCTACGGGTCACTGAAAAGAGCGAGACTGAGAGATTTTGACCTTGTATTTGGGGCATTTCTAATTAACAAACATTATTTATCAGCGAAGGAGATTGTTATGAGAATTACCTGTAAAGTAGGCTCAGGGCATCAACTGTTGATAGTGAAGTGCCTCTGATCCGAAGATGTTAGGGGTCGAGTCCCGACGGTGGAAGGATTTTCGACACTAGCTAAGTAGCTACGTCGAAGTCAGTCGCTGCCTGGAGGAAATTTCTAGCGGCCGGCTGCTCTGATCGGTAGTTTTCTGTGGTTTCTCTGATCAACACCAGGCGGATGCGGGAGCTGTACCCTAATAAACGGACCGCGCTCCAACTTTCCTTCTTCAGCCTTGCGCTATCCTCATCGTTTACTT